CAGTCTCAATTTCGGCTATTCAGTAATAGATCGTCAATCCCTTCCATTTTAATTCTTCTCTTCTCTTCTCTTCTCTTCTCATTTGTTCTTTTCTTTTCTTTTTTTGGTAGGCTATCTCTGAGTGATGGCTGCCATCAAGACCCATCTGTGCAGTCCTGCCCACAGATGAACGTCATTTCCTGCACCAAGGCTGTCATGCTTATTCTAGTTAGCTTGATGTTACTGTAATCACGAAATCTCTTTTAATGTATTCTAATTGGACTGGCTGTTCTGCATCATGTTTATGTGTGTGTCCATATCCCATCATGAATCTGCAGTGAAGCAGAACAGCAGAACTAGATGGTCTCCCTCGCCTTTCCTCTCTGCGTCCCTCGGCCTCTCTCCCCCATTAGTCACTCAGTCGGTTACGCACATTTGCTCTTCCTCTGTCTGTATCCCTCTCTCGCTGGTTCCCTCTTTCATTATCAAATAAGAAATAAGATTACATTCTGCTGCCTTGCAGCTGCATCATGCACACTTTTATTAATATGTTTCTGTGCATGACTAACAGCCATTACAAGTCACTTTGTTACATCATTAACTAACCATGAGAATAATGTTTGTCACAATAAAAGCTGCTGTAAATATACTTGTATTTATTGGGTACTGTGTTATGTGGTGTGAGGGATTGCTCATGCCAAAGAGGAGCTGTGATAGAATCTATAACCTCTTTAATGAGCGCTGAGTCTGAGTTGCACTTAAATATAATGCTCATCAGTATTTTTATGCAAGGAAAAAGTTAAAGTAAATAAAAGTAAGCCAGTGCCATCATCAGGGGGAAACCAGAAACACTGAGGCCTGTGATGAAAAACAACCAATGAGTTCCCAACCTGAAGCTCTTAAAAACATTTTGATTATTCTTAATCTACTGTTATATCTAATACTACATGTTATAATATTGCATACTAATATCGCCTATGCAACATGTAATATTGCATATGCAACTTGCAATATTACAGTGAAATGTAAACCTAATCATTTACAAATACCCCCTAAAACTGTTTGAAACATTTTACAGTATTAGCGAGGAATCAGATCAAATTTGGTGTGATTTGACCACAGCTGCAAAGCATGCTGGGTAACCAGTGGTGCCAGATTAATAAAGGAATATTCCAGATTCAAAACAAGTTATAAGCTCAGTCGACAGCACAATGCTGATTGCCAGAAAATTTTAAATTTGGTTTTTCTCTCTCTCTTTTTTTTTTTTTTTTTTTTTTTCTCAGTGTTTGCTAAACGTTCTGTAATTTTTTAGTCTGCATATAATACAGCATGTGGTGTATGCCATGCCACATCTTATTCAGTTTTATTAATAAACGTTTTGTAAGCTAGTTTGTCATTGTATCTTACTGTTTTATCGTTGTTATGCTTTTTAATTAAGAATAACAATGAATCCATCTTTTGTTTTAGTCTTAA